AGTTAAATGAGATCTACTGAATTAGCAGCAGATGAATAAATGAGCTGAAAGACAACTTATCTCATGTGACTCTCACATGTAGGCTTTCTTCTGGAAACAGACTGCTTTGATTCTTGCCTACATCTTCTGTCTTTTCCAATATTTTGCTCACCCACCTCTTGTCTGGAATACCCATTGCCTTTCTGTCTTCCATCCCATCACACTCAGGATTCAAAGTCTAACTCAAGACCCAGCTCTCTACAAATGGTATAATTATAATTCTTTGCATGTAACAGGCAAACAAATAATTATAATTAAAGTTCATCTCTTTCAAGAATAAAACATTCAGTAAAACACTGAGAGGAGACAACAGTTCTTTGATATTGATTCATTACGTTTTAAAGTCAGTAATTTACTTACGATCTCTCTAACAGGCATTCTTACAACTGATTATTCATTCATATTACACAGAAGTTCTAGTAAGCACCTGGAATACACTTATTATATGACATGTAATGTTGTTATTGTTGAGCTAGCTGGTCCCTGACTCATGGCAACCTTGTGAACAACCAGATCAGATCATTGTGATCCACAGAGCGTGCACTGGCAGATTTTCAGAAATAAATTGCTAGGACTTACTTCCTTGAAGTCTTGTCTGTAAGCTCTCCTGAAACCTGCTCAGGATCAAAGCACCATGCAAGCCTCTCTAGGAACAGACAAGTGGTGGCTGTGCTTGAGGTACATTGGCCAGAAATTGAACCCAAGTCTCCTATGTATGGGTCAAGAATGCTACCAGTGAGCCACCACTGCATACTGTGTTGTTGTGAAGTTCCATCGAGTCAGTTCCAACTCATAGCAACCCTGTATAGGGTTTCTGAGGATCGGCTGGTGAGCTTGAACCTTGCGGTTCAAACCAACTTTGCAGTCCAGCACATTAGCCCGCAGTGCCACACCAGGACTGCGTACTACAGTATTTAATAAAAGCACACTATTTTCCTCCCTGTGAATTTTGCCAAAGCTAGCAGAAAAGACATCTACTCTTTCTCTGGGTTCATCTCCCAGGAGGCATTTAAACGCCCAGTGGAACGAGCCCAAGAGCAAAACCAATTACTTGTAGGCACACTAGAGAGATGAGGAAAAAGACAAATTTGGGGAATATTGCTGACATAATTTAGCCTCATGAACCCAGCTTTATTTGATGCCAGCACAAGTCTTTCATTTTTCAGTTATGTGAGCAGGTAAATATTGAAAGTTAATTTCGAGTTGAGGGTTACATTTTTCAAACAAAATTATTATGACTAATACAGGACCTTCACGTGAAATCTGGGAGCTTAATAAGCATGCCTGAAAAGATGGTTATCTTAGCTTTACCCAAAGCAATGCATAACGTCAAAGAAGGATTAAAATGTAAACAAAATGACAAGTATCGACGTTAATGTCTATTTGCTAAATTGAACTGGATGCTATATAGCTCCCATAAACTCTAGAAGCTTTGTAATCCATAAGTCATTATAAATTCATAATTCAAAACCTGGCCAAGGTTTCCATTTTTACACTCAAAGAAATTGAACGAACACATTACTTGTATTTCATTTCTACAAATTTTTAGCTAACATTTATTGAGCTCTTATGATATATGCCAGGTACACACAATAAACACTATTAATTTTAATTGCTACTTCTATGAACTGTGTACTATTATAATTTTCATTTTGAAGATTAATAGGCAAAATTAAAATACCATGTCTAATAATAATAGGAGTACGAGATTTCAAAAAGTTCATGGAAAAATGGAATTTAAATGATATTCTGGGATTTTCCCTTGAACTTTCTAAAGTCCATTGTATTTACTAAACCTTTGTTAAGTATGTACTATGTTCCAGATACCATTGTGGTTAGGTTCCATCAAGTCATTTCCAACAAAGCACAACCCCATGTGCAACAGCATGAAACACGGCCAGTTCCTGTACCATTCTCACAACTGTTGTTATATTTGAGCCCATTCATGCAGTTACGGGGTTAATCCATCTCACTGAGGGTCCTTCCTCTTTTTCGCTGACAATCCATTGTACCAAGCATGATATCCTTCATCAAGGACTGGTTTCTCCTGATGACATGACCAAAGTACACGAGATGACACAGTTCCTCATCATCAACGTTTCTAAGGAGCATTCTAGCTGCACTTAACTCCAAAGCAGATTTATCTTTTCTTCTAGCAGTCCATGCTAACTTCAGTATTCTTCACCAACACCATCACTCAAAGACATCAACTCTTTAGCTTCCCTCAGTCGCTGGCCAGCTTTTGAATGCAAGTGAGGTGACTGAAAATTCCATGACTTCGATATCTTATAAATCCTAGTCACTATGCCTGCCATTCCTATTGTTCAATTACATCAGTGAGGTAAATTAGAATGATATCTCTCTTTTTTTTAAGTTTTTACTGTGAAAACAAAACAAAAATGTAACACTGAATTATAAAGTAAATGCTTTACATTTTACAAATTGTTACAAAATTGGGCAGAATTAAAATGTGGGGGAAAAAA